CTCCTGTCCCAGTTTGAGGAACAGACAGTGAGCCTGTCTCTCAATAATAATAATACAGTGTGTGACCTCCTGTCCCAGCCTGAGGAACAGTGAGCCTGTCTCTCAATAATAATAATACAGTGTGTGACCTCCTGTCCCAGCCTGAGGAACAGACAGTGTCTCCCAGTAATGTACAGGTCATGCCTGTAGCAGGGCGGAATGCAGTACCTGCTGCGACCTCTGGATGGCAGCGTCGATCTGCTGCACACGCTCCGCGATGATGTCGCTGCAGGTGCGGAACCGCTGGTTGCTGTCGGCGACGAGCCGGTCCAGGCCCTCGCGGGCGCGCCAGGGGACGAGCTCCAGCAGGGCGCTGCCCACCTCGTTCACCGTGTCCAAGACCAGCCTCTTCTCCACAGACACCGACTTCAGCTCCTGCGGGGGGCAGGAGGAAGGATCAGAGACTGTCGGCACTAGGGGGCGGCTTTCGCCTCCTGTCCCTCTTCCCACACCCTCCTCTTCCTCCCCAGCTCCCCTTCCCCCCACCTTCTGTCTCTCCTGGTACTGGGGCGCGGCGTCGGGCTCGGTGCCGCCCAGCTCGCGCTCTGCGCTGTCCAGCCAGGCGGACAGGTCCTCGTGCGCGGTGGCGAAGCGCGTCGCTAGCTGGAGAGCCTGCTCGAGCGTGCGCAGGGCCCTGGAGCTGCCCGCCGTGATCTCGGAATACCGGGACTTTATCCCGTCCAGCTTCTCTTGGATCAGGATCACCTCCTCACCTGGAGACAAACAGACAGCTCAGTGTGTCAGTCGGGACAGACAGCGCAGCGCAGTGTGTCAATCAGCGCAGCGCAGTGTGTCAGTCGGAAGAGGAGGACTCGGCAGTCTGGGAAGCACCTGTGGTCTGTCTGAGCAGCGCCTGTCCGTTCTTGATGGCCTGGTCCACTGTCTTCTTCCGGCTGACTATCTCCTCATTCAGCGACTGGCCACAGAGACGGGGGAGAGAGGAAAACAGAATGAGGACTTGAGAGAGGTGAACTGACTGGGTACAAAACTGTTCTCCCTCTTCATCAACCCCTCAATCCCTCTCTTCCTCCCCGGGTCCTTGTGTTGACCTCCTGGTCTTAACTCTCCCTCCCTCCCCTCTTCTGTCGTACCAGCAGCTGCGAGTGCTGCTCCTGCAGCAGGTCCTGCCTGTAGTGCTGCACAGTGGCCACAGAGAGGCGCTGCTGCACCTCGGCCAGCCAGTTCAGCACCTCCACCTCCTCCTCGCCGAAGAGCCGCGCGTTGATCAGGGCCTGCTCCAACATGGCCGCCCGCTGCGCACACCAATCAGAGAGCTCCGCGTGCCCGCTGCGCACAGCCCCCACCCGCTCCTCCAGCCAATCGCGATCCGCTGCGCAGCTCAGCGGGGACAGCGATTGGCCGAGGAACTCCAGTCTCTCGAGCTCTGCCCCCCGAGACGCCACTTCCTCCTGGAGCGCCTTTGACGGAGCGAGTGTTTATTTCACAAAGGAGGGAGGGGGAATGAGCCACGGGAGAAAGAAAAAGAAAAAATACAAAAAAAACGTAAAATGCAAAAACCTGAACCATGCAGACGATGATAACAAAAACAACAATGAAATTAAAAATCAAAGGTCAAACTCAACTGCAGAAATGAAATCAAATAACGGAGCGTCTATATTTCATGTAGACGCATGTTGGGTAACAGAGATCAACACAGGACAACAAAGGGGATGAAACACAGGACAAATAAGGAGGGGTGTGTGTGGAATGAACTGGTGAAGAGGGCAGGGAGGGTTGGTGCATCAGCTGGGGGCTTGGGGCCTCAGGAACGTGCTCAAGGTGGCCCACAGCTCGAACCCAGAACCCGACCACGCAGCTGACTGGAGATCTACTAAAATGGCAGTCTGATCTCCAGGGATCCCTGGTCTGTGTGATCTCGCCCTGCCGGGCTCTTACCTTGTGTTTGGCAATCTGCTGCGTGATCTTGGCGGCCTGGGTGCCCATGGGCTCCGCGCTGGTCAGCCGCCGCTCGGTGGCACCCAGCCACTCGCTGAGAGGCTCCACGGTCTCGTGGAACTGGCACGCCAGCACCAGCAGCTCCTCCAGCTGGCACTGCCTGGCAGGGGCAGGGCAGACAGGAGAGAGGGTGAGCTGGCACAGGGCGCGCCAGAGGGGTACAGACTGAGGACTGTGGGTACAGAGCTGTACGGGGAGTGGGGTGTCTCTGAGGGGCTGTACGGGGAGTGGGGTGTCTCTGAGGGGCTGTACAGAGAGAGTG